TACATACATACATGTATGTCAAGAATACATCAGATGCAGATTATGCAATTAATTGCAATTTTAATTACCTTTTTTACTATAGTAATTATTATTTAAAAACAAAAATAAACTCTACATAATTTAAAGGCAGTACAACAAATGTATAAATTCTTGACAACTGAAATAAGCACATTTTCCCCCAAATTTAATCTTATCTCAAAATATATATGTAGCTTGTACTAGTTAAAAAAAAAAATCTGTTTTAATCTAGACCTTTTTCACAAAAAAGTAATAAATTGTTTTTTAATTGTGATCATGATTTATGCTTCTCTCAATCGATTAAGCATGATCATCTGCAATAAAGTTTCATGCATCTGGAGATTTCAAGAGTTTAACTCCCCCAATTAGAGCTTTTACCTTAAATGGACACATTTTCTGCCCAGTGTTTTACTTAATTTTCCCAACCTGGCAACCACGTACCAGAAAAAAGCACTGATGACCTGAAAGCTCCTGCACACATGTGAGTTTAGCGATGTCCACTGTGATATTTTAATATTCAAATGAAAGTGCAAGCCAGTCATTTGTGCTTTTTGCTGCAGCTAAATCTGCAAGCAAACCTGAACTGTAGTAAATGAACATGAATCCTGACTATATTGTTTGCAACTGAGGCTGAATACATGCACTTACTGTTTTTTTAAAAGAAAAAAAACATGAACATAATTTGGAACTGCTGGAGTTAATATTATTTTTACTGGTTTGGCTTTTGAGAGAAGCTTCTTGTTGTACCAGTTTTCATATAAAGAGTGTGTATATATATATATATATATATATATATATATATATATATGATAAATATAATACATCAGGAAACTAGACAAGAAAAATAAACCATGCAAACTGACATCATTTTTGAGCAAAATAATCATGATTATCAGTTACCATGCAGGTCAGAATATACAAATCATGCATATATGCTCCAAAAAAAAAAAATCTGTTATTACCTTTTTCTGGATTTCATCAAATATTTCTGGTGTGGGATCCTCTTTATTGAGTTTTTGAGCCAGTCTGGTTACAGCCGCTTTGTCCACCTCCACCCTAGGAGAGGCCTGAGGGGAAATAAACCTGTCAAACATCGCTTCATGGACACTCATCTTTTACTGGTAAATCTCAGTCTTCTCACCTTCTCGGACAGGTATTCATATAAAGAGTGTGTATATATATATATATATATATATATATGATAAATATAATACATCAGGAAACTAGACAAGAAAAATAAACCATGCAAACTGACATCATTTTTGAGCAAAATAATCATGATTATCAGTTACCATGCAGGTCAGAATATACAAATCATGCATATATGCTCCAAAAAAAAAAAATCTGTTATTACCTTTTTCTGGATTTCATCAAATATTTCTGGTGTGGGATCCTCTTTATTGAGTTTTTGAGCCAGTCTGGTTACAGCCGCTTTGTCCACCTCCACCCTAGGAGAGGCCTGAGGGGAAATAAACCTGTCAAACATCGCTTCATGGACACTCATCTTTTACTGGTAAATCTCAGTCTTCTCACCTTCTCGGACAGGTACTGGTCATAGACGCCGAGCGCGGCGGATCTCAGTAGGCCTTTGGTGGTCTGGCTGCTCTGCCTCTTCCCATCTCTCTGGCTGCTCTGTAAGACCTCCAGCTGCTGCTGGGCCGTGACCCGATAGCCCTCCACCGTCAGCCAGAAGAACAGGATCGCCTGACCGCCCATGTGCTGCATGTAGTCTAGAGAGAGAGAGAGAGAGAGAGAGATAAGGCACTGAGGAACAAGCTGCCGATGTAACTCTAATGAGAGGACAGTTTGTGTGCATCCGTCTTGACTCACCCATGAAGAACTGCAGCGCGATGTTGTGCACTATTATATGTTCCAACGGAATCACACACAACTTCCCAAAATTAGCAGCGAGTTTCAAAGCGTCAACTTCCTGTTTGGGAAAAACAACCAAAATGTGTTGTCATTTTGTCAGGTGAAATGTTAATTATTTGTTAAACAACTGGTTAATTAATTGCAGTTAATAATTTAGTTTATAAAAAGTACAATTTCAAATATTAAAATTAAATTTTTATCGCGTATTTTATAATGTTTTTGGAAAAGTTATTTCTGTATTTTCCAAAAAAGTTATTATTAATTACAATAATTGTCTGTATAATTATCTGTATAATGTTCTGTAATAATTAAATGATAATTAATATAATTTTAATATAATATGATTAATATAATTTTAATTGTTGTTTCAAAGCGTCAACTTCCTGTTTGGAAAAAACAACCAAAATGTGAAAATAATTTTAATCGTGTATTTTATGTTTTTGGAAAAGTTATTTCTGTATTTTCCAAAAAAGTTATTATTAATTACAATAATTAATTATTTTAATTGTCTGTATAATTATCTGTATAATGTTCTGTAATAACTAAATGATAATTAATATCATATTATAGTTTTGTTATACATTCCTAATTATATATTTTATATAGTCTTAATTATATTTAACAAATCAAACTCCTACTAAACATAAATGCATTAAACTGCAGACTGAAAATGTATTAAGATACTATTATAGTTTTTATTAATATTTTGAATCAGTTTTTATATTTTCATTTTCATTTTAGTTATAGTTTTAGTCATTTTGTTGTGTTTGTTTTTGTTGTGTTTTTAAAAATATGTTTATATAGCTTTTTATTCATTTATATTTCAGTTTTAGTTTTAGTTCTTTTAGTACATCAAGCTAAACAAAATTAAAATGAGAAACGTTACCTTGGCAACTACCTTTGTTTTATTTCAGTTCAGTTTTATTTCAAGAAATGAAAAGGTTTTAATGGTTTTAATTCTAGTTTCAGTTAACTATAATAACCCATGATTAAGAGGAATTATTTATTGTTTCATTTACACTATTGTTAAACATAAATTGATTATTAATGACAAATGACTATGAAAAAATATACATTCCTAGAAAATCTGAAAGTTTTTAAATTAATATTCATGAATTATAATAAAGCAAATGTGAATGAAACAGGAGAGATTTGTTTACCTTCCCTGATTGTAGCCGTTGTATCCGTGTTTCACAGACTTTCTTCACAAAGAGCAAACTGTTGATTTGATTCTTTATAAAGTTGATATCTGTGAGTGTGGAGAGAGAGAGAAAATGAAGAGTAAACTGTGTTATTATAAAGCCCTGAGCTTGCTCTCATATTTTCCAAAACAAACCCTAGAATTCACTGTTTATTTTCCAACACATTAGCATAAGTAAGCATGCGTGAGCGTGTGTACCGTCTCCTCCCGTGTCCAGAGATCGGAGGTACTGAAGCTCCTCCAGGACTTTGTCTTTGACGGCCTCCAGCTCGGCCGCTTTGTCTGTCAGCTTTAAGATGTTCAAGAAGGCTTCGTAGTTACAGCTTGAGTCATGAATCTAAACACACACGCAAAACTTCTTAAAGGTAATTCATGACACGCTTCTGGACTGTTAGAAACCGAGGCAGGTCTCACCATCCAGATGACGAACTGATTGATGTAATCAGGGTCACTCAGCTGGTTAATTAAGGGCAGCAGAACTCCTCTGGCCAAAACTTCCTGCAGGACATCAGAGAATCAATCAGTTAAAGGGGTCATATGATGTTGCTAAAAAGAACATTATGTTGTGTATTTGGTGTAATGCAATGTGTTTATGCGGTTTAAGGTTAAAAAACACATTATTTTCCACATACTGTACATTATTGTTTCTCCTCTATGCCCCGCCTTTCTGAAACGCGTCGATTTTTACAAAGCTCATCGGTCTGAAAAGCGAGGTGTGCTCTGATTGGCCAGCTATCCAGTGCGTTGTGATTGGCCGAATACCTCAAGCGTGTGACGGAAATGTTACGCCCCTTACCATATTGTGATGATGCCCTGTCCGGCCGGAGCGAGGAGACAAAAACATTAAAACCCATTATAAATGAGATATTTGTTCCATCCAGTGGGGACATAATTACGGATTATAATGACTTATACTGTCTTTTTACGCGTTGCGTTGCATCGCGCC